TTCCCTGTGGGGTTGGAAAGAAGCAGCAGCGAGCAAAATATCTGCTGCAGGGAGGAGACACTCCTTCCATATGGAATGTGGAGTTTGGGGTGAGCATCACAGCCCCCAGGACAGGAGCACTGCTCCAAAGGGCAGGAGGGGCTCTGCTGCTGGGAGGTGACACGGTGCTGTCACAGGAACGTGTGTTCCTGCAGTTTGTGGATGGTGCCACAACCATCTTCAGACCTTCCCGTTGCCACCAGAGGGAGAAGGGCTCAGCAGCACAAGGGTGAAGGGAAAGGAGGATGCTGTAACCACGACTTGTCTGTAATTCATTCTGGATGAGCCAGGCGGGTGTCCCCGTGAGCTGGAAAATGTGAGCTCTGTTTTGTCTTGCTGCCAATGCTGATGACAACACAAAATTGTTCTCATTAAAATATTCTAGGGGCAAACTTCAACTTTTCATCAGTCAGCAAGTCATGCACAAGTGTCAGGCTGGGGGGTCAGAAACAAAGAAAGGGGGTCCAGAAAGGCCCTCCCATCACCTGAGACCCACCCTTTTGGAAACACCTGGTTGAAAACCAACTGCTTTGAGGAAGGAAACAGTTTGCAAATGTCTTTGCAACCTTCCCCCACTCCCAAAGTTGCAGTGCACGGATGGAGAGCAGCTCTCCTGCCAAAATTAGTATTGGTGATGGATGTGCCCTTCCTGGGGGGAAAAATGTCCCTGTCCTGGAAGGGGAGAGGTTGCACAGCACCTTGGAGCTCCTCATTGACAGTATCTCACTCCCCCATCGAGTGCAGACCCTGCCAGGTGAGCTGCAGCTCTCTATGCTCTGTCTCCTGGTTTGAGGCCCCTCAGGTGCCCATCAGCTCCTGGGAGCTGGCTGACCATGGCTTGAGACCTTCTGCTCCAGTGGCAGATGAACTGAGGCTGGGACAGTTCAGGCAGGAAATAAGTGACATATTTCCAGCAGTCAACAGTGATGAGTCACTGGAGGAATCTGCCCTGAGATCTGTAAGTTCATCACTTCCAAGGGTCTCTTGACTCAGGGCTGGATGCTTTCCAAAGGGGTGCTCTGCACTGGCCACGTGCTGAGGACATGAGGGCGCTGCTTGGGTGATGTTCTTTATGCAGGAGCTTGGACAATTGGCCTTGATGATCTACAAGCCACTTGCTGAATGGATAAATAAGTGGTTACAAAGCAGCAGCAGAGCAGTTTGGCAGGGATGGTCAAGTGTGGGACCATGGTGGGCCTGGGGTGATGCCCAATATGGGGATTTGCTCCTGCTGCATGCTGCAGGGATGATGTGGGATGAGCTTTGTTTCCCTCTAGGGAAAGCTGGAATTGTTTAGGGGTCCTTCCTCCCTCAGCCTTGGATCCAGGTGTCCCAACAGCCACTGGTGATGGGAGGGACAAAGGCTGGTGATGGGAGGGAGCTGATCCTGTGGCTCTCATGGAGCTGATCCTGTGGCTCTCATGGAGCTGAGCCTGTGTCTCTCATGGAGCTGATCCTGTGGCTCTCATGTAGCCGATCCTGTGGCTCTCATGGAGCTGATCCTGTGGCTCTCATGGAGCTGAGCCTGTGTCTCTCATGGAGCTGATCCTGTGGCTCTCATGGAGCTGATCATGTGGCTCTCATGTAGCTGATCCTGTGGCTCTCATGGAGCTGATCCTGTGTCTCTCATGGAGCTGATCCTGTGGCTCTCATGGAGCTGATCCTGTGGCTCTCATGGAGCTGAGCCTCTCTGGGTGCAGGGGATTACAGTGGTGGTAACCCCCCTGTGTGGGGGGATTGGGGATGGCCTGAGGAAGAGGAGGAGGTGACAGAGACATCCTGTAAGTGACACCATGTGGGCTGGCCTGACAGGAGGCTGCTGTGATGAAGGCAAATAAAGGAAAGGAAACAAGGGGAACCCAGGTGTCCCTTCTCCTCCCAGCTCCTGAAGTCAGCAGGGCAGCAGATTTCTGCACAGGCAGTTGAGTCCCTGCCACATTGCACCGACACTCACCCACCATTATCTTTCTCTCTGAACTCACCATAGCATTGATGTCCACAATATCTTGGGGCAATGGATTTCAGGCTTTGTTGGTGCAATGTGGACACTTTCTGCCTTGCTCTCTGATCCTCTCCTAGCAATTTCTGCCACTTGACTCACTGCCTTTCAGTCTGAGCATGTGCTGGACTGTTTCCTGGGCACATCTTCACACCTCTCCACATTGCATTAAATCCATTAAATCTGCTGCTTGATAGCTCAGCCCTGTGAGCTTCTGGAGCCCTGTTTGACTTTGGCTGCCTCAACTATTTGGTATCACCTTTGCCTGGCCACTGATTCCTCTTGCTTTGGGTGCTCAGTGCCTGCTCTGCACCTGTGGGCTTTGCTCCCTGGAAAGTGCTCTACAATTATGGTTTACTTCTACCCTTTGGTTTCTTTCAGCTCAATTTCTGTGCAGAATCTGACCCTCCTTGCTGCCTCTTAATTCAATTTCTGCCCAAGCTGCTTGTCCAGGCCAGGTGGGGAAACCACAGAGGCTGGTGATGGAAGACTCAGGTCCCTATCACATGCACTGACACGTCTCTACTCAGTAAAATATTTATTCCTCCATTATTTCACAAGAGTTGTTTTTACAAAAACCTTACAAAAATTTCCAAAACACAGACATGCAGAAGAAAAAAAAAAAACCAAATCCACCATGGATCTTGTTACAAGTAATTGAAATGTACAAATAGAAAGAAAGGGCGAGAGAGAGCTTAGATTACAATAATCCCTCGGTCCTGCTACCCCTCCACGGGTGCAATTTGTATCTCTTCTTGGTGAGTTCAGCATTGACTGACAAGCTGTGATAAGCTGCCAAAAGCACAGCAAAGGAGGGGCCCTAAGATTAGGAGCAAATGTTTTCAAATATATATACATATAGATATTTAGTGAAGAAATATTTATTCCCTGCTTTTTTTAGGTTTACAGAAACAGCATCTGCAAACTATTAAATGGGTTTATTTTCATTAATGTTCTCAAAGAGGCAGCGACATTTATATCCCTGTGGTTTCATCTTGTATAAGTGAAAAAAGAGCCCTGTGCTTTCCATGGGAATGGGACCCCCCTGGCCCCCTCCTCCTGCCCCAGTGGTGTTTCTCAGGGTGGATGGTTTCATCCACAGTGGATCCCTCTTCCCCCTGGCTTGGCAGGTCCCTGTGCAGTGTGGGGAGCTGGCATGGCAGATGGGAGGGATACCAGCCCTGGAAATGCAGATGGGGCAGAGGGGGGGTGTTTAGGGTGGCACTGGAGGAGGTGGGCAGGGTCAGGCAGGCTGTGCCCTGTCCCTGCCTGCCAGGCTTGAGGAGGAGAATGAAGCTGTTCCCAGCTGTGGAGCAGAGAAGGCAGGGGCTGGAGGATGGACAGAGGGGCTGGTTCACCCCCAGGCACAGGAGATGGTTTTCCCATCAGGTGAGTCCCCCCATGGTGGCATTGCCTGGGGTGCAGCTGACGGCCCTGGTGTCACAGCCATGGGTCCCACATGCAGCTGCAGTGACACCCCAGTGGGAATGGGAGAGGATGCTCCATTCTGGGGACTCAGGTGGGCACTCTGTAGCTGTGGCACTTTCAGCCTCGGTGTCACCAACCAGAGGATGTTTACCTGGAGGAGGCACCTCAGCAATTGCTGTATTTGTGCTCAGATCCATTGCTGCAGCCCCCAGACCAACCCCTCCTAGGGAAGCAGGGCTGTGTCTTCTCTGCCCAGCCCACCCCTCTGAGCTGGAGGTGTCCCCACGCTTGGCTGGTGGCTCTTTCCAGTGGGTGAGGAAAGGGTGCTGTGGTTTCCTGTGGGCTTCGTCCACAGGGACACCCCACACCTCCAGCACCCCAGCTGTGGAACGGGGAAGGTGGAGGCTGCATCTCCCCAGCTCAGCCCCATGGCTCGGGGCCAGGCTGCCCACCCCGCGTCCATCCCCTGCACGCCCCACCTTGGAACCTCATTAGGCTGCACAGCGGGGTGGGATGAGGGGGGAAACCATTTCCTTTCTGCAAAACCAAGAAAGGCTCCCCCCATGGAGCCGCCGGCCCCGGAGCCCCCAGCACATCTGCGGAGCTGCCGACGGGGAGGCTGTGCCTCCGGAAGGCGAAGCCTTCGTTGGCACGAAGCGCTGGGAGCCGCCTACTCAGCTGAAACCCAACAGCTTTTTCCAATTTTCTCATTCCCTGGGACTGTTCAATGACCTGGGGCTCCGCAGAATCGCTGGCAAATCCACCGAGGCAGGGCAGCGGTGCCTGCTTGGGGATTGGCGATGCATCCCCGGCTCACGGGAGAGCTCACAGGCTCCTGGAGGGTTTGTTGAGGTGCTGCAGCTCTGCTTGCCCCTCTAGGAAGGGACAAAGCCCGATGCCACCAGCATAGGCAGCTCATAAATGCAGGAAGCACAGTGCAGAGGGCTGGCCATGGCATGGGTGAGCCATCAGCTTCCCAAAGCCCCAAACTTTGGGAAGTCCCAAACCCCACACTGTGGCCGGGGTTGCACAAAGAAATGAACACATGGATCAGCTTTGGCACACAGAGTTGAGCGCCACAAGTCACAGCCTGGTGGAAAGGGGGGCCCGTGATCCTCCCACAGTGTCCCTGCGGGAGGAGAAGACCCAATAACTCTTTGGCTCTCTGGGCAAGATACCCAAATTGGTCAAATCCAATAGTCCAAGATCCTTCCATGTTTGGAAGCAAATTCTTGTTCCCTTGGCAAGTCTGTTTGTCCTCGAAGAGCGTGTGGGGGGTATGTGTGTATATATAGCCGTTATTATAAGGGTGTGCGGAAAAGCAAGTTTCTAACCAAGTTCGCTCCATATGTGGCTATAATTATGTGCCACTTCGGCCTGGGACTGACTCTACCTTCAGAAGGGAAGGGAAGAGGAGAGAAGATGCTGAGACATTGGATGAGTGGCACGTGTGTTGGGCAGGATTTGTCCTGGGCCTGGCACGGGAGCTCCACGCTGTGTCCTGGAGGAGGCCACGGGATGGGCTTTGCCCTGCTCAGTTCACGGTGGGCACCTGGTTCTGGTGGAGGCTGAACTCCTTGGCCTTGAGGCGCAGGCTGGCGATGCTGTTGGCCATGTTCACCCCCTGGGCGGGCGTCGCGGTCCCGCTGGAGCTGTAGGAGGGCACAGTGCTGCGGGAGGGAGCAGGGAGCAATGAGGAATGGCCCATGGAGAAGACCCCATGCCCTCTGTGGTCCTGCTGGCTTCCCAGGCCAGGCTGGCTGCTCCCTGTTGGAGATCTCTCACAACAACAGCCAAGGCTGCAGCGTTTTTATGGGCTTGGATGGATGTGGGAACCCCTCAAACTATGCACCAGGAGGCCCTGCTTTGTGCTTTTGGATGTGGTGGCTGAACACGAACAGCTGGGAACCAGAAGGGACCCATGCCACCTCCTGTGCCGAGATGTGGGAAGGGTCAGCACGAGGCCAAGCAAATCCCTTGCGAGGACTGGGGCGCCTGCTCCAGTCCCAAAATGCAAGGAGGCAGAGAAGTTTGCTCAGCTTTGAGCAATGGATGCTCAGACAGAGTTTAATGATTCCAAAGCCAAGTCAGACAAGCTCCTTTCGGCCTCATAAAGCTCCCCAGATCCTCAGCAGTGGCACAGGGCTGCATTCCTGGGGCAGTGGGGCTGTCTCTAGGCGGCCCTGCCCCGTGGCCACCTCCTCCCCAGCTCCTCCAGAGCCTCCACCTACCTGTATGGGGAGGTGCTGGTCCACGAGAGATACTCAGGGGTCAGTGCAGTGGGTCGTGGTGCCATGGGCTGCTCGATGGCTGCCTCCTGGCTGTAGGATTTGAGCAGGGATGCCGATCTGTTGGCCAGCATCGCCCTCTCGTTACGGCGGAACTTGGCCCTCCGGTTCTGAAACCACACCTGTGATGGGGAAAGGTGGAAAGGTGGAAAGGTGGTCAGAGGGACCCAGTGTGAACAGGGATGCCCCAACTGTCTGTCCTATGGGTCATGGTGATGTGCAGGATGAAACAAGGGAGGGGACAGTCCCTGCTCCTGCCTGGGGCGAGGCAGAGGTGCTGTTTTCTCCCACACAAACCTGTGCTCACCTGGACTCTGGCCTCGCTGAGGTTGACCCTTCTGGCCAGCTCCTCCCTCACGAAGGCGTCGGGGTAGTGCGTCCTCTCAAAGACCCTCTCCAGAGCCTGCAGTTGGCTGCTGTTGAAGGTCGTGCGGTTCCTCCTCTGCTTCTTCTTCCTCTTGGCTGCCCCACAGCTTGGGCTCAGGCTCTCACCTGTGGGGAAAGAGCAGAAGCCACATGAGAGCCAGACCTGTGTGAGACCCCCTGACCCAGCCAAGCCCAAGCCCTCCTGGGGTCTGCAGTGTCCTGCTCTGTGCCAGCCTTGCTCCCTCCAGGGTGGGGATATGTGCAACCCTGTGATGTCCATGAGAATCAAAACCTATTTTGGGACCTGCTGGAGCTTAGGGTTAACCCCAAAATTCACCAAGGCCTGTGGTAGTTTCACATCTGACTAAACCATGATTTTGAATACCAGTCTCAGTGTATTCTGAGGCTGCACTTGATCCAAACTGGAGCTCATCACTCGCTAAGACTTCAAGTCAAGATTTCATGAATGGTGATGAAAATCCAGCACCAAAACACCCCCAAGATGTGGCTCTCAGCTCCCACCTTCAGCACCCCCGAGGCCCCAGCTGTGGCACATCCCCAAGGTGACACAGGAGCCAAGCATCTGCTCTTGCAGCCCCGCTCCTCGGAGCTCGGAGCGAGCGGCACCGCGTCTCGCGGGGCTCAGCCTCCGCAGTGTTTATTTCTGGCTTTGCTGCCTCATGGAAACATGAAGCTGAGGGTGTAGTCTGGTTTCTCAGTATTGATCTTGGGCTGTCAGCCAGGCTGAGATTAATCTCCTCTTTGTCACTAATATCATAAGGTTTGGGCAATTTCGTGAAGCCTTTTTCCGAGACACCCAGTCAGTTCCTGCAAAGGCTTCGTGGGGAGCTTGACTCGCTTTCGTTCTCCCTGGTGGAGGTACTGGTTAATGGCTCTTTCTGTTCATAAAGCATCTGGATCCAATCTGTACCTACTGGTGGGAAAGCATTCTGGAATTATTTGAAATGTTAATAATTTTATGACATTCTGATTCATGGCAGGGGTATGCTGGGGCTTTCTGCTCTGTGTCGTTGCAGAGGCCAGGGTGGCAGAACTCACCACTCCCTGAGTATGCTCACAAATTAAATACTTGCTAATAATATTAATTGTGATACTTATTTAGTAAGACCAGCATTTTCAGATAATGCTTGAGCAACAAACAAAATCTACTAGAAGGGGTATTAACTCTGCTGTTTCAAGACGCCATCAAGCTGTTGAGCTGGAGGAAACTTCCAAGATCTTTAAGGCCAGAAAAACCTTCTTGCACCTTAACTCTGAATAATTCAAGCCATGAAACATCCAACAATAAGTTTCTCATCAAGTCCCTAGGACTCCTATGTGCCCAACTACACCATTCTCCCAAGGCCTCTCTGCAGCCACTGGCATTTCTCTGGGTCATTAATTGTGCTGTAGGTGCAACTTGGCCTTGGTTGACCATCAACAATCTGTGATCTTGTATTTTGGACATGGCCTTCTTGGTTGGGTGAAGACACGATGGACAGTGCCTGAAATATGTGTGGGTTTGAGACTCCTTCCCCAGCCAGGACACCACGGGCTGCCCTTCACCACCAATCGTGTCTCACAAATAAAATTCTCAGAATTCCCTCCAGCACTTCCTCCTGCAGCTTCAAATGTTCTGCCAGTCTCTGCTTTCCAGTTGCCCCTTTTAGTTAAACTCCTTTTTTGGTCCTGTTTTCCTCCAGCAAGCTAACGAGCCGCTGGATTAAAATACATGAAGTCCAGCCATGGTTGTCCCTCAGTTTTCTGGGAGCTTGGGACTGAAATGGGAACCATCAGGCTGGGAAAGAGCTACAGGATGTAACAGGGTGAGAGGTTTCCTTGTGGGTTTATGACCATGCCACAGGGCTTCTGGGGAAATGGTACATCAGGGTTTGGTTCAAAATAGTCACAAGGGCACCACTGCCCCTCACCAAACTGGCAGTGATTTCAACAGAACCCTGGGAAATGTATAAATAAAATTTATAAACCCCCTTTGGTTTCATCCTCAATTTAAACCTGGCTATAGGACTTTTACACAGTGTTGATTTCCCTTGCCCACTCTGACTTGGCTGGGGGAGGAAAGTTTTTTGAAATTAGCTCTCAATCCAGTTCTGTAGGATCTGGCCACATTTCTGGCTGGTCTTTATCTCCCCAAACCCACAGAAGGAAGAGCTAAAGAGCCACAGGAGACAAGTGGTGCTGAGTGCTTCCCATATGGGGCTGGCAGCCATGCTGGGGTTGAGGTTTAGGACTGGAGTTGGATCAGGATGTGTCCAAGCACCAGCAGTTCCTGGGTTTTTGGAGACCTGCAAACCCTGGGCTGGTTTTGGGGCATTTTGTTCAGCCCCTATTGCTGCTTTTAATGGAGGGACCTTCCACACCTTTTCCAGGGCATCTTTCCATGGCAGAGGCAGCTCCACACATGGACTTCCTGCCTGGATCCTCTGCTCTGCCCGGGGATGAGCCTTGGTAATGCATCAGCATCTTTTCCTCATTAGCTCAGGCACTGCAGGCCTGTGGGACCAGGCAGATCCACCCTAATTGCTGGTGGTGAGTGCCTGACAGGTTTACAGGGTACAGTTAGGCTGGATCTGCTCCACCAGAGATGCTTTAATAACCCCAAATCAGCTTCCCAAAAATGAGCATGGCTCAGTTCTCTGTGGCATCAGAGCAGGAATGGGAAGTGGGATGAGTTGGATCCTCTGAAGACACCCTGTCCTCTCACTGCCATCAGGAGGACTTGGATTCAACCAGACCTGCTGACACCTTGATGGAGGAATTGGAAACCAGTTCCCAGCCCGATGGGCTCCCAGGAATAAGAGTTTGTAATTGCACAGAGTTAAAACCAGCTTCCACCATCACTGTTCTGTGCCAAAATAATGCCTGGGGAGGCTATGAAGGAAGCCAAACCCTTGCCTTTGTCAGGCATAATTTGGGGTTCATTTGGGCTGAAGGGACCAGTCTGGTTGGCCAGCCCTGAGGTCAGAGGGGCTCCTGAGCCTCCCCCAGCCACCTTGCCTGTATTTATCTTCCACTGATTACAATTTCCGCTGAAAGGAAAAGAAATGCAGGCAAAGGGGGAAAACAGGGGGGATAACGTTACTGAGTAACGAAAGATGACATGAGGGGGAGGATGGGGAGAGGGAGGCACAGGGGGCTTTGCACAGAGCAGGATGGGTCCAATGTGCATCACAAAAAAAAAGCCTTAAATTGCCCCAGACTGTTAGGAAAGACAGGAGACTTTTTTACCCGTGGTGTGGATGAGTTTTGGGGTGCTGGATGTGTCCTGGGTCACCTCCAGCCTCCTCTCTGGGCTGTCCTGCCTCAGGCAGTGCTGCTCAAAAGCTGCAGAGAGCCTGGGGACAGCTCTGTGCCCTACAGACGCCATGGGGTGCTGGGAGTGACCCCAAAACCCTTTTCCCTGTGGGAGCACCAATGCTGGCAAGCCTGGACTGTGCCACAGGGAGAGCCTGGGAGCAAAGGCAGCACCAGCCCTGGGTCAGAGCTGTGCTGGTTCAGCTGGGCACCAACCAAGCCCCTTCTCCCACTCCTGCCTTTGCCCTCTGCGCTTCCATTCGTTTCCCACAGGAAGGACTTGGTGGGTCTCAGCCTTGGTGCTGGGCTTGCCCTCAAACTCCCACAGCACTATAAAGAGGTGATTTTCCCTGGATTTCCACCAAGGGTTTGAGTTTGACTAAGAGCTCCATTAGTGCACAGTAAATGGGCTCAGAGCAGCAGTGATCCAGATCAACCAGCACTCACAGTCCCAGCAGCTCTGCCCGACCCCAGAAACACAGGCAGGGATCCTCCTTGGGATGTCTTTCAGGGATGGGCTGTACTGCCAGCCATGCTCAGTCTCCCCTCTGGACACCCAGTTTGGGGAGTTTATTTCCAAAACACCCATCCAGAGCGAGGTGTTTGCCCAGCACCACCCCTGCTGCCCCAGCCTGTCCCTTCCCCAGGGGTGCTGCAAACCCCGCTCCCCATCAGCACCACCACATCTGGGACAAGTTTTCCCGACTCCAACTCCACCACTTGGCTTTGGGGTGCAAACACCCCCGTTTTTCAGGTCAGAAGGCAGCAAGTTCAACCCTCTCATGCAAAAAAGCCCAGGCTCCATCTCCTCCAACGTGTTTCATTTTCCACTGCACCGCAGCCCCCACGGCCCTGCAACGTTTTCTGTCATTAAATTATTTCACACGTTCCATTTATTTGAGCAGTTTGCCAAAGACCCTTTAAGCTTTAAATTTTTCACACCCCCCCCAGCCAAAATGATCAAATCTGCTGTACCATTTACTTCCCTACTACGCCTGGAATGGCGTTTTTTTTTCTCCTTTTTTTTTCTTCTTGGGTATAATTTAAGGGTTGAAATAGCCTGGAGGGAATTAGCTGTAAATTCTTCCTAAGACAAATAAATTCAGCCCTCTAAGTTTCTACGTTTTTCAAACTGTTGAGAGACATTTTGGGTTTGTTTTACTTGAAATAATGATCGTGGCATATCTGACCCTCAGGCTGCGGCCGGCTCTAGCCAAATAAATAGCTTTTATTAATTAAGGTTTATCCTTAACAAATAAAACCCCAATTTGATCTCGGCCGGCTGAATTAGCAAAAATAAACAACGGGTTCTCTGGGCACTTGATGTGGATTTAACAAATTAACGCTGGGCCTTCATCAGGGAAGCCGCAGGGTGGTGGAGGTCTTTTACAGCCAAGAAATCCTTTGCAAAAACAATGTCTTTCGTTTCTCCCATGGTCTCTCTCGGTAAACATGTGCACTCCCTTCATCCCCTCGCACTCGGGGGAGCGAGGAGAGCTCCGGCCACGACGTCTGCCAGAGCCTCATGTGCAATTGTTTAACTTCTCCTCTAAATCATGGGGAGGGAGCGCTTCCCCTCGGGCTACAGAGAGCTGGGGTTTGGGAATTGCCCCTCCGTGGGGTGCGCCCTCTCCAGCTCTGCTCTGTTCCACAGATTTCAGCTGAGACACCCGAAGCCAAGGTGGGATTTGGGGGTACATGGGCTCCCTCTTTCCAGCAGCCACTTCCAACACTGCCCTGCCTTGGGATGCAGTTGGGAACAGCCTGGGAGCCCAGAGGGGTTTTATCATGGCTTTGCAGGAAGGAGGGAC